AATCCCTTAATATCTTTACCATTTTGCTCTTCTCCTTTGATCGTATTTTTTTTCTGATCAATAACAGCTGTAATTAAAGAAAATGTATAGATTTCTTGTGGCGGGAGAAGGGATAAAATCACTCAGAATTTCATAAGCCAACATTAGTGTATCTTAATGTTTTGGGACTTTCAATTCTTATAAATGTTTTATTAAAATATACAAATGGTATATATACACCTATGCATATATAATGTATGTATATATGTGTACACACACATATAATTAGGGGTTTTGATGCCTTCTGGCAAGACAACATCGCCCTTTTGAACTCAGTCTGCATGTGTTTATCTTGGCAGTTCTTAGTTGCGGGGGAGGTAAAAGACAATGTCGTTTTCTCATTGGGGTAGATGCTGGTATGTTGCCCATGTTCCAGGAAACAACTTCCCAACCACACAGGGGCAAGAAACCCTAATTAAATTCAATGGGTCACATACAGAAATCAGGCGTGAAGTGTTTGCCGAAAAGAAGGGGTTTCATCAGGAGAGGGAAGAGGAGAGGGGAGTGAACGAAAACGACCTACAGTCCTTTATACAGATGGAGGTTGTTAAACAATGATTCTACCTCACAGGGCTAATACTCAGTTAACTTCTTCCCCAAGCCTTAGAATTCTGTAACCAAAAGTCTCAGCTTCTGTAACTAGAATCCCTACTCCACACACCGTCCAAGTGCCAACAGCTTCGTGACAGTCAAACTTCCTAATTCTTTTCCAGCTCCATCCATATCATCCCGTCAGGACTGAGCAAATGGTATTTTGAAAATTTTACTTGCCTTTCTCTTTTCCCTTTTTTTCCCCTGAATACAACAGACTTGTGTCAATTTTTTTAAGTAAGGAAGAATTACGATATTTTATTTAAAAAATGCAGAGATGAAAAATTATCTAATATCCAACCTCCAAAATACAAACAGAGACATTGAAAAGGCATTGTCATACTGTCCAGGAAGAGGATCTTTCCAAACTATCATACCTGTATCAAGGTCCTCCGTCCCAAAGATGGAAACATGGAGCCTGGGCAAACAGTCAATGAAGCTGTCTGCCTCAAGATAAACAGAAGAGATGGCCCTGGAAATATCCATTCTATCATTTTTTTAAAAAGGAGAAAAAACTGAGGGCAATGGGAGAGCAAGACTGTTAACCATGTGGGTCCTGGTTTCCTGCATCCCAGGGTTTGGTCTATAGTGGAGCAGGTTCAGAGTTAGTTAACACTGGGGACAGCAGAACTTGCCCATAGCCTACTCCCATCTGAGCTATCTGCAGAATACTCCTATTGGTAGTATATGGGCACACAATTAAGAAACTCGGTGAGGAGAGCATGTCTCCAATTCAGCTTGGAGTACCAGGGAGGAATGAACACCAAGCAGACCACCCACTGACTTCACATTAGCAGTAACATTGTGTGGAGGCTGAGGCAGACCAGTGGGCAGTGGGGTAACTGGTGGAGACCCCAGGGATTATGGCCGGGGAAAGCCAAAATTAAGCCAGGTCAGCCAACAGGGACTAACAGGTTCTGAGCAATTCAGATGAAGGTACCAGCTACCCTTAAATATGCTTTGCCAGCAAGGCAAGCAGTAGCCAGAAAAACACAAATATCACATGAACCTATAGAACAGGGGCCCAAAGCCTCCTTATCAAGACCTCCTTATCAAGATGTATGCATAGTATATAAAGCAGAAACACAGGAGCAAAGAGAGGTGGTCAGAGAACATCTAGTCTTATTCCCTAGGGAGACAAAGCATTACTTAAAGTGATTATAAATTATGACACATAACTAATTGAAATATGATTCCCCTTGCCCCCAGTCAACGGATGGATTTCCTGGAAAAATATCAAGACAGTTCTAGAGAAAGACAGGACTTCCTTAAAGGGTCTAGGATGAAGTGACAAATTTCCTATGTTCCTCTCCTTCACTCCTTAAAGCTGTAACTACAGAGAAGGATGTGTTCAGAAGACAAACCCCCCAGAATGGCAGGAGAGGAGAAAAGACCAAAGCAACTTAATGCAGATGCTAAAAAGAGATGAACAGCTCGTGAGTCAATGAATATCTAAGGGAACCAAATCTCATGTGGACAGTGGGCAACCCTGGGGAGAAGGAACACCACAGCATCTACAGAGTTCTTGTGAACAGGAGGAGCCAGTGTCTCTGGAACTGACGGTGAGGGGGCTACCTGATAGAAGGGCTGAGTGAATACTGTTTCGGGGGAGTTCGGGATCCCCAAAACCCTTCATGTTCTCCACACTTCTTTCCCCACCTTGACATAACATTTGCTCCTTGAAAAGATAGCCGCAAGGTTTCTGGCCCTCAAGGAACAGCAGGTACAATGGCAGGTGTAGCAGGTTGACCCAGCAAAGACGAAAGAGTCCTTAGTGGATGCTGAAGGCAGCAGACTTTTGCCCTCTTCCTTATTCTGCTTCCAAGTCACAGGCAGTCAGATTGTCACTCTCTAGGAAGGGAGTGAGACTCTAACCAAACAGACCAACGTGAAGCTTGGTCTGTTGTGCTTTTTACAGACTGCGGCATCTATGCTCATCCCTCGGATTCCAAAGGCATCCCTGTTTAGGGATTCGCACTCAGAGGATAGGTGACAAAACCGAGTGGTCAGAACAATCAAGTCATCCCCATCACACTGGTACCTGAAACAGTACCTGTGCACAGCCCTGAAGGCGTAGGCGATGCTCTGGGAATTAAAAGGATGGAGATGACACCTGCCCGGGCCCATCTTAATCTGCTTATCATGAGGAAGACGGAGGTCTCCATGTCCCATGAACCCAGCCCTGCCATCTAAGGGTTCACGGAGCATTGATCCTGCCTCCTGACGAGAATGGGAATTTTTTTGTAAGTACGTAGGGAACATCCCTTGAAAAGCCCCGAGCAGAATGAGGTGAAGAGGGTAGTGAAGGTAATCCTAGAGCTGGGTTCAGACTGAAAACCCTAAAGGCCGTCACCAACAGCTATTTCAGAGCAACAGAGTGCCTTGACCTTAACGGTAAAATAAGTATTGTTACGGGCACACATATTTGTTCAACCAATGACATTTACTTAGCAAACATCTATTCTGTGCTGGATCATTGATTGGCATTTAGGATGAAGCAATTAAAATATTTTTAAAGGCCTTGCCTTTGTGGAATTTATAACCCAAAGGGATCAGGGAAATAAAACAACCACATACACAAACAGTAAATATATACAAAAGGTAAGCCCTGTGGAGGAGCAGAATCGGGGGATTGGGAGGTAGGAGGGTGCAGTTTTCGACTTTGAATAGTGCCGTTAGAATAAGCTTCACTGAGAAGAAAACAGGTGAGCAAAACTTGGAGAAAGACACGCCATGACGTGCACACTCCTCTCGCTAGGCACCAAGTGGGACTGAGGCTGCGGGTCTTCGGCACCACACAACTCTGCCTCTCCGATCTGTTCTCAGACAGCAGGAAGACGAGGCAACGGGTCACAGAGCAGAAACAGGCATAGGCTCTATTGAGCGTGCCCTGCTGAGCAGGCCTATCTATCCCAGGCAGAGTATAAATAAGCTGAGAAGTCTAGCCAAGCTTCTGAGTAGGCTACAGAAAGTCAGAGCAAAACCTCTTTCCAGGATTTTTATTTTCCAAATCATGAAGTCTTTGTCCTAGACAGCCTGTCCCAAATGTGTTCTTCAGCGCTCTAGACAGGGGACATGCCACCCAACTAAAGAAAAACTGGCGTTCGCAGGCATGTGGAAGGACTTAGCCTAGAGCAAGCCACTCATAGCGTTCACACATGCAAACACTCAATAGTGCATACGCGTAGTGAATGACTAGCGGAAGAAAAGAAAAAAAAGAGGAAAATAAAAAAAAAACTGCCAACGTCCTTGCTCCAGTTAATTGTGACCTCACAGCTGCAGGCCAAAGGAACATTTGCTCCCTAACCTCGCGGCTGTAGGGAACCCGGGTCTGTGATGAGGCTTGCCACCACACGCAGAAAGGAAATGGATAGTTCATCCAAAGTCCCTCCCAATCTAACCAAAACACTGAGCTAACATACGAGATCAAACAAAAGGCAGATAGAAAATGTTCTCATGCACGAAAATGCCAGGAGAAAGACACGGAGACCTTGGGACACATAAAAACAAAACTGAGAAGTTTTACCCTGTGCCTTGGTGTCACGGGGTAACGGGCAGAAACTGAAAGCAATGGGTCTCTATGTTTGATGCATTCTTCCGGGACCCAGAGGCCCTGCGAGATTCTCAAACATTTAAAATAAGGTTTCTCACCATGAAGCCGGGACAAAACAAGTCTGTCATGCTGTTTAAGGCATCGGGCAGGTTGAGGGACCCACATTAAGACAGAAATACTGAAAAGAAAGGGAAAAGGAAGCCCAACCCCTTGAGCCTGTGTTATCCCTACCCCCACCCCATCCTGTAGTCGGTGAAGTCTGTACTTTCTGCAAGAGTGACAGAGAAGATACGGCCAGCTCCAATACATTGAAAAATGGGGGAAGTTGACCTTAGATGACACTCTCCGCTCAAGAAATGAGTAATAATGTCCAAGAGGGGCACAGTCGGCCACCCCTACAGACTTCAGAGTGACACTTCCCCCATAGAAACGGTGAGCCAGCAACCAGTACCAAATGCCACCGAAAACAAATCTGTTAGAGTCAGGTCACACTGCTCAGCTGAAGCCTGGGAGGGAGGAGGCCAGCGGAGAACACAAAAGTCACACCACCTCCGCGCCTGCAGTACTCTCCTCAGGCACCAAACCGAGGATCCCTGTGAGCCACGCTCTTTGCAAAATGCTTAACCTCATTTAAATGAACACCCACGGCAGCCACAACCAGTGTAGTTGACGCTGGGAGCACTGGAAACCGCAGGGAACAAAACGGAGATGAACAAATAGATCTGTGAGCACACGCGGACTCCACTCTCTCCTCATTAACGAAGAAAATACAGGGAACTTCGCCGCAGATATTATAGTTTAAGGAAGCGTGCCTTACCTGCGTGCAGCCCAGCAGGGAGTGAGTGGTCATGGCTGTTGTCACTTCAACAGTTCCATTTTCTGCTCCTGGTCGGAGTCACTGCATGGATCTGGTCCCATGTGTTCTAAGTGTGGACCCCTCATCCAAATACAAGGCCCTGTGGGCTGCAAAGTGGAAGACACAATTTACCATTTTGCCAGATCAGAGATGTTTTTACTCAGACTTCATCAGAATACTGTGGTAATGAGGCCCCCTCGTTGGATATATTCCCCCTTTGCCATCACAGCTCTTCCCAGCCTCCAAACACCATTGCATTAAAAAAAAAAGGGGGGGGGAGACACACACACAAATTTCAGGAGGGGAAAAGGATTCTATTTTCCTATTATTTTATTGCCATGTGTTAATCAACACAGTAAATGGCGTTAGTAACACACAGTCTTCCTGGAGTAGCTAAGATGGATTACATATCCATTAGAAACCTGACTGAGTTCCTCTTTTTTGTATTTATTTATTTATTTGTTTGTTTATTTATTTATTTATTTAGTTTTTGTGAAAAATTGAGACGAAGAGACAGACTCCAAGGATGGAGTTTAAGAAGTTATTTCCACTGGCTGGTGGTGCATGCCTTTAATCACTGCATTCTAGAGGCAGAGGCAGGAGGATCTCTGTGAGTTTGAGGCCAGCCTGGTCTACAGTGTGAGTTCCAGGAATACAGGGCTACAGAGAGAAACCCTGTCTCAAAAAAAAAAAAAGCAAAACAAAAAAAACCCAACCAAATAAACAAAAAAAGAAGTTATTTCCTAGTTCTCATACTGTTTCCCTCCTCAGGTGGGTGTGGGTGCGTGTGCATGTGCATGAGTGTGAGTGCGTGTGTGCAAACTATCCTCAGGTGTTATATGTCAATCTATAGATTGCATTGTAGCTATAGGAGCGGTAGGGCTGCGTCCCCGGCACCCGGCTGCCCGCATGGCTAGCTTATGCCCGAAATAATTACATGGAAGCTGTATTCTTTTAAACACTGCCTGGCCCAGCTAGTTCCAGCCTCTTATTGGCTAGCTTTTACATATTAATCTAACCCATTTCTAATATTCTGTGTAGCACCACGAGCTGGCTTGCCAGGGAGGATCTTAACCTGCGTCTGTCTGGAGTGGGAGAACCATGGCGACTCTCTGATTCAGCTTCTTTCTCCCAGCATTCTCTTCTGTTTACTCCACCCACCTATGTTCTAACCAATAAAATGCGCCAAGGCAGTTTCTTTATTATAATTAACCAATGTCCTTCCTCCATCATTGCATACAATTTCCTCACAAGATATTCTCTCCCACAAGTACCGGCTGCACAAAACAGTTAGAGTAAAGAAAGATCCATGTTATGGAACACAGGGGGAAACCATTTGCATCCTTGGGTAAGACAGAGATCCTGGAGGAACAGCAACAAGAATCAAAACCAGGTATCTTCAACTGCCTCCTTTGATAGCTCTTCGCTGTACTTTAATAAACAAACAAGGAGACTCGTAACTTCCCTCAATGCTGTCCAGAACTCGAAGGCCCCTTTAGTCTGCCAGCCAGTTAACTCTTTATCTCAGTTTGCATTCGCTTACAGACTCCAAGCGCTCTGCTGCCCTAAACCACCCTTCGCAGCCCAGAGCTGTTTCATCCTCTCTGCTCTTCATTGTCAGGGTCTCTTCTATTGCTCCTGCTCCATGCTTTTCCATCTTATCTCACTCTTTGCTCTTATTCAATGCCCCCTTGTGCTGGTCCCTTCCTGGCATTACCCACATTTATCTTAGTTTTTCTTACCATCTTTCTACCCCTTACCCTTTTCTTACTCTTGTCCCTGTCTAGATTCTCACCCCTTTGTTCTTTTAAGGTGTGCTGTCTTTCTGCCCTTCTTGAGTTACATCAGGCTTAACTTCTAAATTCTTTTTTTATTGATTTTTATTGAGTTCTATATTTTTCTCTGCTCCCCTCCATGCCTCTCCCCTACACCCTTTAACCCTCCCCCAAGGTTCCCATGCTCCCAATTTACTCAGGAGATCTTATCTTTTTCTACTTCCTATGTAGATTAGATCTATGTAAGTCTCTCTTAGGGTCCACATTGTTGTCTAGGTTCTCTGGGATTGTGGTTTGTATGCTGGTTTTCTTTGTTTTATGTTTAAAAGCCATCTATGAGTGAGTACATGTGATAATAGTCTTTCTGGGTCTGGGTTACCTCACTCAAAATGATGTTTTCTAGCTCCATCCATTTTCCTGCAAAATTCAAGATGTTGTTATTTTTTATTTTTCTGTTTAGTACTCCATTGTGTAAATGTAACAGATTTTCCTTATCCATTCTTTGGTCGAGGGGCATTTTGGTTATTTACATGTTCTGTCTATGAAAAACAAACTGCTATGAACATAGTTGAGCCCATGTCCTTGTGGCATGATTGAGCATCCTTTGGATATATTCCTAAAAGTGGTATTATTGGGTCTTGAGAAAGGTTGTTTTCTAATTTTCTGAGAAATCTCCACACTGACATCCAAAGGGGCTGTTTGCACTCCCACCAGCAATGCAGGAGTGTTCCCTTTCCCCCATAACCTCTCCAGCATAAGTTGTCATCAGTGTTTTTGATCTTGGCCATTCTTACAGGTGTAAGATGGAATCTCAGAGTTGTTTTGATTTGCATTTCTCTGATGACTAAGGATGTTGAACATTTCCTTAAGTGTCTTTCAGCCATTTTAGATTCCTCTGTTGAGAGTTCTCTGTTTAGGTCTGTACTCCATTTTCTTTTATTGGATTACATGTTCTTTTGGTGACCAATTTCTCGAAATTCTTACACAGAAAGAAAAGTCAGGGGTCATGAGCTAAAAACTCAATTGCTAGTCAGACAGTGATGGGAGACAGTGGGACCTTGAAGAGGGGAACCTTCTTGAAACCAATTAGATCCCTGGGCACACCCTTTCAAAGAGGTTAGTATGGCCCTATAAAGACTCAAGAGAGAAAGCAAGGACACTCTGTGTGCTTACACTCTTCCACATAGCTGCTCCCTTCCAGCCCTCTGACACGTATTGTAGCCAAGAGAACCCTCATCAAAGCCCAAACAGATATGTCTACCTAATATTGAACTTTCAGCCTCCAAAACTAGGAGTTAAATGGAGCCTTTCAAATGACAGGTACCCTTATTTAGGTATTGTATTATAGTCCCAGAATCATTTTCATGTTTATCCCAAGTCAAATAGAACAAGACAAATAATTTGTCTTTTAAGAACAAATATCAAATTTATAAAATTGAACACAGCTTCATGGATCTGGACATATAATATTAGTTTAGATATACTACATAGTGCATACATGACTGACATGTTAGTGTTTTTCATATGAAATGAAAATACATCAGAAAAAAACAGCTGTGTTTTTCTTTTCCACTCCACATCTCTCTACTTGACCTTTCTTTCTTTCTTTCTTTCTTTCTTTCTTTCCTTCCTTATTTATTTATTTATTTGAGCCTTGTTCTCTTACCTCACCTTTGACTAAACCTTGTCTGTACTGTGTAGGAGGCAAAGGAAAGGAACTGAAAAATGTGCTTGGTTTTCACTCTGTTGCAGGATTCTGCTACCTGCTCAGCTTATCTACACTTGCCATAGTCCTGGGAAGTACAGACCAATGTTTTTCATTTTAGGAATGAGGAACTTGCACTTCAGAAAACTTAAACATTGTACTTTAGACCATATCTCCAGAACAGAAAACAAGAGAACTGAAAATCTCAGAAGAATCTGATTTTAGTAATCTAGTTTTCATAAGAATGTCTCCAATATTAGACATATAATAATTATATATCATCTATGCTGATAGGCAAGGTAGTACCTAACTGTAATCAGAGCACAGATTGAGATGGGGGTGTTTGATGTGCACTTAGGATACAAAGCATAGCAGACTATTGTCCCATCATCATTATCTTCCTCATCATCCTGACCTTGATTGACATGTTGGCCTCACCAGTGTACTCACTTTTTGAAAATTCAAATTATTATATTATATATAATATTACATATTACATGAAAATTTAAAATTTTATATATATAATTAGTGGAATGTTGTACTTCCAAGTACTATAAACATGAAAAAATAGTGTTTATATGTTAAGAAAAATATAATCATATGACAAATCACAAGCATTTTTCCTAGAGAATGAAATTATAAGCTGTCTTAACTTTTATTCTTGCATTATTCTACATTTCCTAACTTAGCGTCATTTTTGTCCTAAATCCACCTTGTAGGTAGACATTGACGCAGTACTCCTCAGCAAGCTTGCTTTCACACTGTGTGGCTGTTATAGTCAGAAAACACCAGCAAATGCTATCGAAAAGGCACAAACAGCATATTCCAAGTGGTGACCAACTTTTTGTGCATTTTTTTTTGATACAGGGTTTCCCTGGCTGTCCTGGAACTTGCTCTGTAGACCAGGCTGGCCTTGAACTCACAGAATGCCCTGGCCCTGACTCCGAGTGCCTGGATTAAAGGTGCATGTCACTACCACCCGGCAGTAATAAACTTTTATGTGACAGATTTTATTTCATTTCTGTGAATGATTATGTTTTTTTTAAGTTTTTAAGTTTTCTTCTATAATCGGGAGAGTGGGTAACAAGGAGCTTTGAAATATCAGCAAAGAGCAGCCTTCCAGATGATAGTGTAAGAACCACCAAATTTTTGCCTCTCCACAGAAGAAATTAATATAGCAGAGAAAAATGCTCAAAGTGACCTTTCCAGATCTGTGGAAGTTGACCAAAGTCTTTAAGGTTTTACTTTGGTTCCAAGTATAAGACCATTGAGTTTGTGCCATTTGAATTAGTACTGTTCTCACCCCCTCTTCAAATCCCTATAACAACCTCAAAATTCTACAATTGTAAAACCAGGGATGCTGTAAGATCAGTAGCTGAGCATCCACAGAGGGACCAGAACAATTCTGGCGTGCCCAAAGAACCTCCATCTGAAAAATCAGCATTTTGACCTGTCTGGCAGATTCCCTAGGAAAGTTCTGGAGTGAGATTTGTGATTTACTTGACTCCGAGCCCACACAGTAAGGAAAGCAAAAGCCATCACCAGAGCACACATGTTACGGTTTCTACTTATACAAAATGTCCAGAATAGGCACACCCGTAGGGACTGAGAGCAGAAGTGTGGTCTC